GGGGTGACAATTGAAGCTCCAAGTCCCACCGTCTGAAGCTGAGAACGAGAGGGGGGCACCCAGGAGAGGCGAGAGGCCAGGCCAGGTTCAAACTAGACTTCTCTGTGGGAGAAGCTGCCAAAACCTCGCCCTCGCCCTCTGCGAACGGGCACAACGACGGCACCCTTTCCACCGCCGGGGAGCCTCTGGGCCTCCCTCCCTCACAGGGCTCCTTCTTCTGGTGTGTCAGGACCCGTCAATGCCAATGCCACCTTTTCCAGCCATCAGGACCTCAGCGGGCCTTCACGTGCAGCAGTGATGGGGATGACGACATTCTGTGGCGCCCCTCCCAACGAGCACTGACTGAGGGCTGATTAAGGCTCAGCCACGCACACCCGCATCTCCCTGCGTCCTCGAACAAGGTCTGCGCAGCCCGGCTGGGGCGCTCTATCTTTGCATCTCCTCTCCACCGGCCCACGGCACCGTGTCTTCTAACTCTGGCCCGGCCCAGTTTAGAAGTAGGCCTTTGAAGGTGGGAGTGGGAGAATGGTGTGTTGAAAGTTACTGGTCCAGCTTGACCAGACAAAAAGCCAGCCCTGGCACTGCACCGCGCTGCACCAGGTGTGTGGACCAGGGCTGCCCAGCCAGTTGGTCCCAAGAAGCTCCAGCCCCTTGGGACCTACTGTAGCTGGGCTGGGGTGGCGGGCAGTGCCTGGGGCCGGAGAGAACCTCCCATTCCTGGGGGCCAGGCCCTGAGCAGGATGCTGCTTGCAGAGTGAGGGAGGCAGGCAGGTGCACGCTCAGCTCCAGTCCGCGGCCTCAGACTCGCTTTCCTCTGCCTGGCAGATGGGACACTAGCTGTCTCCACGCATTTCCTTGTCTTGTCTGCCACCCCCCTGCCCCCGTTTGAAATTAGAGTTCCCGTTGTTTTGCATCCCTTATCTTACCCATATTGTTTTTAGTACTTCTTTGTTATATTTTTTAAAAATTTGGTTCTGGGTATTCTGAGGAAGATGACCAGTGACACGCAGGGAAGGCCATGCGCCAGGCCCCAGGGACCCAGCAGTGTGTCCAACCAGCCCCGGGCCCCGCTCACCCTTGATGATGTGCCGGATGATCTTGCCGGAGCTGCCGCGCATGTTCAGGATCTGGTGCACCCGCTGGCGGATCTGACAGGGCGGGGAGAGCAAAGCGTGAGCGTCAGTCCGCGGGGAGGTCTTACTGGGAGCATTCAGCCCTGAGCCTGGGGACGGCCCTGGCTCTCGTGGAGAGCGAGGGGATTCCGGGAGCCGTGCCCTGCTCGGTCCCTGCGTCGCCTCAGCAGAGCCCGCCTACCTGGGGGACGTTGGCATTGCAGATCTCTGCCATGATGTAGCAGATGTGCTGGAGGACGAAGAGGCCCGCGTCCAGGCGTCGCAGGTAGAACTCGTTATCTGTGCTTTTGTCCAGGATCTCGCCGCGCCGGACCGCGTCCTGGAAGGGAGCGGACATTCGGGAGTTTTAGATGGACAGTGAGCGGGAGGCAAGACGGGCGACTGTCTGTCCGTACTGTACAGAGAAGAGCAGCCACAACCACAGCCCACCGTGGCCTGTCTACTGTTCTCCACTACTCTACCGTCGTGATCTCCTGCTCCTTGCTCCTCAGACCCCAGAGACCCCAGGAGTGGAGCCCACACGCCTCCCCCGACCTCCCAATCCTCCACGCACAGGATGAGCCAGGGCCAAAAGGACCTCCGCCACCCAGTCAGCCTAAGAACACGAGCATAAAGCTAAGTGTTCCGCTTGCACGAATGCTTTCCTTTTGGGCTCAGGCCTCTGAACTAGCTCTCTGCAGGGCGTACTTCACTGTCCTCCCGTTCCAGCCAAGGAGGAAGGGCTCTTCCCTGCAGGCCTCTGGGTACACGCGGGACAGGGCACAGGCACCCAGCGTGTCCGCACTCGCCCGCTGTGGCCCCAGTCTCTCCATTTCATTCTCAAGCCCCACAGTCCTCGAGGGCAAAGAAATGCCACCATCTTTTCATCCCGGTTGTCCCAGGATCTGTTTGAAGCCCCTCATAGGCAGTGGGGGTCCTTCGCAGATTGCTCAGGCATGGCACTCCCAGCCGCTCTTCTCTAGAGAGTTCTGACACAGCTCTATCGAGCTGCCCTCCACAGACCGCACAATTCACCCACTGAAGACAGACAGCGTACTAGCCTTACGGGTGGGCAGCACTGGGCACTCGTCACCACAGCCCATGACGGACCGCCTTCCTCACCCCACCAGGGAACCTCGGCGAGTGGAGTCTTCAGATGGGTCTGCCAAGATAGCTCTCCTCTCTCCCGCCAGGACCTTCCTACCACCCCTCCGAGGGAAGGCGGCCTTAAGTCCCACACGATTTAAAAGCTAGACCTCTACCACAAAGGAGCCCTGGAGGCGGAGTGGTTATGCGTTGGGCCACTAACTGCAAGGTCAGCAGTTCGAAACCACGGGAGACAGCTGTTCAGCTCTCGTGCAGAGCTGCACTCTTGGAAACCCACTTGACTAAGCCCACCCTGTCCTGAAGGGCCACTATGGGTTGGCATCGTCCAGCCCAAGCCATTGCCATCAATTTGATTTCAACTCAGCGACCCAAGGTGGTGAGCTTGGGGCTCTTCCACCAAGCCTCCCCTGGTGATTTTAAGACGGCTCACTGGAGGCGAGAAGCCTCAGGGAAAGCTACTGCATGGCACAGCACGGCACGGCCCCACTGTCCCAGCCACCAGCCACTCCCTCCGCCTCCCCAGGCCGGTTTCCGAAGGTGGACCTGGAGCTGGCTGAAGCTTGGCCTGCGCTCCCAGCTCAGCAAGCACTCCCGCAGTGACCCAGGCACGCAAGACAGCCGGCTTGGGGTGCTCTCGGGAGTGAGGTCTGGCGGGGGACTCGCCCTGAGAATAGTGGTTTCCATGTGGCGCTTTTCAGAAAAGCTACCGTTTCTTAATTCTGTCAGTCGTTGTGTGGCCATGGCTCTCTGACGACGCGGGCACCTGTCACCGACAGAGGCCCTTGGGACCGTGCCTTCCACTCGCCCCAAACTCGGA